TATTCCTCGAAATGGGAATACAATAACATTATTAATTCCAAAGTATAGAGGAACTTCTTTTTTTTTGTACGGTACTACATTGATAGAGTAGATCTATCCTAATCTATTACCATCCGTCGGTAAAATTTCCCTTTGCCAAGGAGAAGACGCCGGTTTGATTCCCGTTATCCGCAACACTTAAAAAGTAGCATTATTATGTTTATATCTAACCTCTTCTTACAATGTGGGGATTTTAGGATTTGGAAATAAAATAGCAAGAAAAAGATAATTCATTTAGGAGAATATCGAAAACCCTTTACAAAAAACAGAAACACTGCAACATTTTCCAAGCAGTTGTTTCAATTTGTACCTTGACAAAACAAAACAAAGCAAAACAAAGAAAAAGAAAGAAAATATTTGCAAAATCAGATAAGAAGGTGAAAATATTGATACTATTCAATTTTGCCACATCTTTTGTTTAAGTTCCTTCTCGATTCTGTAACAATCTGAAGTTTTGAAATCCAACTGCTACTAAAGCTTCATAGATGGTGGTGAAGTTAAATGAGTCAATGATGAAGAGGAAGGGGTGTGACATTTTTGTTTACTACATCTCGTTGCAGAACCTGGAGGGAGAGGGTTAGAAGAAGAAAAGAACCTAGTTGAATGGCTTCTCAGCTTTTTCTTCTCATAAACTCTATCTTCTGATGTTATATGACGTACAGTTGTCTCATTCAAACCCACTGGGAGAACGCAGTTGCAGAGGAAACCTTCAATATTCATCACAAAAACACATTACTTCAACAATTAAAGTATATAACTTAAAATTGTATTCATAATTCCAAATTGAATTCTCTGGTTAGATTTAGGTCTCTAATAAAAACCTGTCATCCATTAAAAACTTTTCAAACAATGTTAGCCAAACAGATTTCAGCTTCCTACCCACTTTTGTCACTATAGTTTTTTTTTTTTTTTTTTTTTAATGTAGTTTTCAAGTTGCAAGCACCTTTCTTAGGTTGAGTGCTTGTTGAGTAAGGCTGACTTTCTTCACATGTTTGAGCTCATTTTTCTCATATCGATCAAGGTGAAACTTGAGTTTTCAATAAGGGACAACCAATGTCATTGATTTTTAGCCGTAGGTCACAGGTTGGTTTCAAATCAAGTGAATTCAGCCACCCAGAACCAAGGTCTGTGTTAGATAATCCGTAAATTTCAGACTTCATTATCACGGACTACCTAATTTTGATGGTTTGAGACTCAATGGACCACCTAAATATGTGTATATTTTGACGTATGGGCATAGCAAACTTCCTATACATTGGTGGAACTGCTTTTGGTCAACCCTAATCTTTTCTTGATTTCGTGAATAGTACCAAGAAAATCATAATCAATGAACCCTATTCTCAACTCCACTTTCCCACACCCACCCAGAAGATAAAGGAAAAGCAAAGCACAGGGTGATTCCTCAACCTCTTCCACTTATGCCCAACTAAAGGTTTGGATTAATTAAATGATGGGTAAGAAGCAAGGATCCTGAAGATTATAAACAAATAGAAAACCACCCTAAAAGAAAAGAAAAGAAAAGAAAACCACCCTAAAGCACAGCGTGACTCTTCAACCTCTTCCACTTATGTCCAACAACAGGTTTGGATTAATTAAATGTTGGGTAAGAAGCAAGGATCCTGAAGATTATAAACAAATAGAACATTACAGAAAATATCAATGCCCATTATTTCTAACTGAAGTTGTTCGTAACTTTTGTGGCAAGTTAAAGGAGCTCTTATGAAATTCAAGAAACTTCGGAACCCACCAACATGGTTCTGAAATAAATACTGCATTCATGGCTTCAAGTGGGTGGAGCTACGAGGTGTAAACCATAAAAGCCACAATTGAAAAGCAAGAAAATGTATGTAATATATTACTAGCGTTTTGACCAAGTTCTTACCAAGTCGAGCAAGTCGATTGATCCAGCTAGGTATTGGCTTCCCTGTTAGCTGGAGACAAGCATCATTGCAGAAGTGATTGCAGTTCTTAGTGATGAGATTGTAGGTGTTTCCTGAGTACCCCTCTGCCAATTTTTCCATGAAAGTGCGGACTTCTTTTGGACCCATATCAGTTTTTCCTATCAAGATCGATTTTCTGAATGTGAAACCTGGACATTGCTTTGGTTCCACTTCAAATATCCCTGTTGTTGGATGCTCATGTGCACCAAAAGCGTACTCCACTCCATGAACTACCAAAGTGAAAATTGAAGAAAGTATTTTGAGATATCCAAAGTTTGGCATAAAAAACACAAAAACTAACAGGTTTTCATAGATTTGATTTCTGATCAGTTTCCTCTTGTTTGCTTACAGAGAAAATGTAGAATTGCTAATGGAAATCACTATGTAAACATCCCAGATTTCACTCCAGTCATGATTTACTAGGCTACAGTAGGATCTTATAGCAGGGTAATGAAAGAAAATGCGTAAAATGGCTTCTTTTCTACATGAGTTTTAAGCACTTTCTTTCATTGACCTACGTTTTCTGACATTCAAATAGAACACAAGTCATTACAGTTTTAATTGAGTTTGCGCCAATCCTAACTGATTCCAATAGACTCTATAAAATACTTAGTTCAACGCAAGTATTCCAAATTTTACTTTAGCAAAGCAAGTCACCAGAGCAAATTCATCAAAATAACATGTTGGGAAATTAGATGTTCCTGTTTTCCGGCAGGGAAAACCTAGTGAAGAAAAAGGAGTTCAAAACTTCAAATTAGATGTTCCGTATCCAAACTCTGTGGCTAGGCTGTGCTCTTTGGACATTTCAAACTTAGTGAACTAAAACATCTAAGTAGCTAAAGGAAGGGAAATCAACCTAGACCCCATTAGTAGCAGCGAGCAAAAGCGGATTGGGGGTTTGAAGAAAAAGAAACACGAAGCTTTGTTCCTCAACAAAGTGTTCACTTCTTTTTTCTCAGGTTTCATTTGATTTGTTGTGGATTGGGTGCAGGGCCAGCCCAACAGTGGAGGAAATGCAGCGGTGGCTTTAGGCTCCAAAATTTAAAAAGTCTACAAATATAGGCCAGATCAATTTTAGAAAAGACATAGTAGAAAAACTTCAATATGATAACTAAACAATTAATTTGCATTTGAAAAGGCAAAAAAAAAATTAAACATTGAAAAATTTACACTATTATTAAAAGAAATATAAAAAAACACTTAAATTTACAGCTTTAGGCCCCAAAACATATCAAGCCGCCGCCCCTGATTGGATGATGGAAAAACCAGTAAGCCCCTTTACTAGGAAGTAAAGGGCACAGTGAATTGCAATTGTGAAAATGTTGGAAGATCTGGCCAAAGAAGATAATAGCCGGTAGATTCATTCCCATGGTTCAATCCTTTCTAGTAAAACGCGGCGTGTATGAATTCTAATCCTTTTACGCTAGAAAAGGGACTACCCTCTAAGCCTAAGTATTCCTCCATGACCAATAGCGTACACGTACCATGAGGGAAAGGTGAAAAAAACCCTATTTACGAGTGCAATAGAGAACCTGAGATCCAATGCGAACAATCAGTCGAAGGAGTGGAGCTTTAGAGCCTTTACTCTATAAAACTTCAAATGCCACATTTCCCATTACTCTGCTCAGTCAGTTTGTTCAAATTTGTTTCATTTAATCTTATTTTAGTCGAAGAAAAGTATCAGCACAAATTACAAAATATTGTTTTCTTCCATTTTCCCCCGTTTTTCTCAGCAACCAGAGAATGGAAGCTCTATTACCCATTCAAGTCTGCGGAACATAAATGAATTTCAAACCAACAAAGAATGAAAAAAACCAGCAACTCACATGTAATAAAGCAAAACCCATCCAGAGCAGTTTATTTTCTTCCAAACTAAGTTTACTTTCAATGTTTTCAACTATCATTTCTTGCCTCAATTTTTTCAGCAACCAAACAGATAATTAAAACTCTAATCTCATTCACGTTACACAAAAGCAAAACTCATCCAAAACAAAGTGGGTTGTTGCAAAAACAATCTATTTTTTAACACAGGATAATAATATTGAAATACACATTCAAAAATTTTTTTTTTTTTTCAACTTTCACGCCCTTCCCTCATATTTTCTTAGGAACCAAACGGCTCACAACACTATTTATAGACCAAGATAAGAATTAAAAAGCAGAGGTACCTTGAACACCGGAGTGGTAAACACCAAGGCCGACCCAGTAAGCGTAGCCATTAATGGGAGTCAGATCGTATACGTTCAGGTACACCGGTACTTTCCCAGTCTTCCTCTTCCTCGGAATCATTCTACACAACATTCTCTAATCTTTTTCCCAAAACACACCCACCTCTCTCTCTCTCTCTCTCTCTCTCTGTGGTCAAACAGAATGATTAAAGAAAATCAGGGAATTTCAGGAGCATATTGGGATTCGGAAATAGGAATTCTTTATTTCTTTGGAATCAGAATTGGAACACCCTTTTGAATTTTCTATCATTTGTTTTTATGGTAATGAATAACAATACATTGAAAGGAAAGAGGGATTTGAAAAATCAAAAAGCTTGGGAAGTGCCGGCGACTGAAAGTGCCAAGCACCGTCGCTTATCCACGGGGAACACCAATGATGGCATGTACTAAGCATTGTCTAACAAAATGCCCTTGCTGTCTGCGAAAACGACAACAACTGCCATTTTTCCCAAAGTTGACCCATCGATTTATTCGAGTCAAAAACCTTATGTCCACAGCTTAATGCTTTTATTATTTATAATTTTATTATTTTGGAGGACTTGATTTTTTTTTTGGGGGTTCGCACCGGTAAATTTTATTATTTTAATTAATTTTTTTATAATTTATGTGCATCATTTTAAAACAAAAAATTTAATATTTTTCTAAGTGCTGTGGATCTTAAACCTAATTATCATAATAATAATAAAATATATCCACAAAAATAATAAATATCTATATGGTACCGATTTTTTTTTTGTTACCGTCGTCGGCAAGTCCCTCTTTGGATAATGTAATAATATTCATATTAATGTGTATTACATTCTTTCTTAAAAAGTGCCAGAGATATATAAAGATCAAATGCACGGAATTTTATTTTTGTATGTTAAAAAATTATTTCTGTGAATTGTACTGTTGAGACACGGGTTACAATAGAATAGCATTATTGTTGTTGCACCAAGTCCAATCATATACTATGAGACTTAATATATATCTCATGATTATTTGAAATAAATGAACTTAATTTTGGAAAGAAAAAAATGAATTTGTGTAAATATATTGATTTTGAAAATGAACTTACTTCCAGGAAAGAGTGAAGAGCCAAGATTTAGATCAGGTTTGGACTCAATTCATAGATTAAGCTCAAATCATTAAAAGACATGTTAAACTCAGTTAATAGCTATAACTTAATTCAAAACTCAATAGTCCAAGAAGATCAACGCACGTGGGGAGTAAATATCGGGATAATCATTACTCGAAAATAACACATTTTCTTAATTATAGCTATCTTCCTCGAAAGACTAATAATTTAATCTTCACGTTACCGCCTTAACTAAAGTTTTGTGCCTATAAATTACAAGCACTCTACACATGAGGGAGAGACGATAATCTCTCACACAGAGATTACACACACCTCACCTTGAACGTATTCTTATTCTCTCTCCCCGCACTTTGAGCTTACTCATGTTCTCTCTCACCTACTATTTTATTCTCTCATTAATAAAGTTTTTCGGCCAATTTATGTCTCTTATTGTTAACTACTTCATTAATTGCATCACATCACACTCGACTGATTTAATTGTACATAAATCCACTTTATTGCATCATCAATGAACTTTAATAGAATTTGTATTCCCTTTTTAGGTTAACATGGTATGAGATTGTGAAGTGTTTAAAATATCTATCAAAATTAAAATTTTGATTACAATAATAATCTTACATCTGATTTGTATTGCGTTGAATTGACTAGCTCAATATGATAATCTAGAAATTTAAAATTACAATTCTCATTTCCAACTTAAATTATTGCTTTTTTTTTTTTTCAAAAGATAGTAGAAACTTAAAGTCAATGGTGGTATTTTCTTAAAAAGGAAAAAGGGAAAGTGAGTTAGTGGGTGGATTCGGATAAGTTGATGGATCGAGTCTAAAATTGTCAATTGTGATGGTGAGAGGTAAACCAAGGTTAAAATGTTAGAAGATAAGCCTCGGCGAGACACTATGTTAAGTCTGTCCTCGTGTAATTAAGGGATCTTAGGTTCGATATTTTTTACACTCTTTGAGGGTCAGTCTTTTTTTTGTTCTTTAGGGAACATGTTCTTAAAATAATTCGAATTATGGTGGCTGATTTCAGAGTTTGATAGAATAATTGACACAAACCTAAATACCCTATAGCCAAAAAAAAAGTTAGAACATAGACTAGTGGGATGATGGAATGAGATAGCATGGATGAATCTATTTATTATATGGCAATCATGTTTTGAGAAGAGGCTTCACAAGACTTTCTTCTCACTTTTTTTTTATTTATAAAATTTTGAATTATTTGAATACAAGTAAAAAATTGTATCCAGTTACATTCCACCAGACACCAACAATCCTAAATAACTACCTATAAACTCATTCATATTCCATCTAGATACACCTCCTTTTGCGTTTGCAACTTTTGGAAGTTGGGTTCGGATGCAGATTTCCAACCGTCAAGATGCACGACTCATTTTGTCCATTTTTGCTTTTAATTGTTCTGAATCTTTCACCATTCACACATTCACCACCTCAAATATTAAAATTGTCTATTTACCTGTAAAATTAGCAAACACTACCAAAGAGAGATAAAATCTAAAACTTAATCAATTATGCATAATTACCTGTCTTGCCCTACATATTTAGCCAAATTATCTTATAATAAACAAGCATAATTTATGGCTAATCACACCAATAATGATAAAAATCAATTATGGTTGATTTGGGAATTGAATGACTCTAACCAAGCAAATTGGGTGCATATTTCTCTTGCAAGATGAACAAACTGTCACAGGTTGGGGTACCTTAGACTTAAACTCATTCGATATTTATAGGAGTATACCTAGGCTTTTTAGAGTTTAGAATCTTGGTTAAAAATAGAGTGGTACACCTATATTCTAGTTAGACCTTCCAAAATTTGTGTTTGAAATTTTCTAGTTTTTTTTTTCTCATTAGTCGATTTTTTAGGTTACGTTTATATTGTGCACCTTTGAATAGGTTGTTTCCTTATCGATTGCCTATGATCACCTTTGATCATTAACGATAGTCTAGCTATCCTTTCTTTGGGTAGACCTAGTCTATATCCCTTGAATTACCGAACTAGAGTCCCATTCGAGTGCTGGATCCTTCAAAGTGTCCTTTACACATTTGTTTGGTTTACATAAACTGCTTGGGAGTTTTCCTAACTGAATCGTTTGCTAAGACAGATACCGATTCCAATTGGTGGATAATGATGTCTGCTAGATTGGACCTTTTTTTGGCTCAGTCAGGGGCACTTTGTTTATAAGGGCCCATGTATTTAATTTAATTTATATTAGATTATTATTTATTATGTTAATCTACAATGAATTAAGAATTTTAATAGACTATGCAAATGGTGATAGTAAGAATCATTGAGATATGTTGAGAAAATTGAGGTTTCGGGGTGATTACTTTTAAGAGAATAGATTTATTTAAGTTCTAAACTTAATTAGAGGAAAATAACATTAAAAATGGATTTTGAGCATTGAAATCCTATTGGATTAGTGATTTAAGTTGTTTTGGGGTTAAGATGCATATTTTGGAAAATTCGGGTAAGAAGAAAAATTAGACACTACCTCAGTGCGTAGGCCAAAATGTCTTATTCAGAACTCCAATTGACCTAATTCTTGTAGCATTAGAAAGTAGACTTCAAAAACTACAAAAGTGTATTCCAAATAAATTTCATGAATCGACTTCTAACTAGATCGAAATGGGGTTGAAAAATTGAGTTAGGTTGTAGAATCTACGAATTAGTGGCAACCTTCATGCCATAGATAGATCGTCAGAGCTTACAAACTTTATACTCCTGACTCACTGCCACAAAGCCCTCAGGTTGATCCATGTAGATCTCTTCATCCAATTCTTTATTAAGGAATGTAGTTTTAACATCCATTTGATACAGTTCAAAATCTAAATGTGCGATAATTACTAGAATCATACAAATTGAGGCAAAGCTCACACGTGGAGAGAAGGTTCCTCGTAGTTCACAACCTCTCGTTGGAGCTTACAAACATTATGCTCCTGACCCACTACCACAAATCCCAAAGGTTGCTCCAAATAGATCTTCCCATCCAATTCTCCATTAAGAAATACAGTTTTAACATCCATTTGATATAGTTCAAAATCCAAATGTGCAACAATTGCTAGAATCATATGAATCGAGGCAAAGCTCATAGGTGGAAAGAGGTTTTTTCGTAGTAGCAAAGGGATGTTGATACAAGTCAAACTTCATGTTTAAGCCATGAAGCCTAAGTAGAGAAGTAACACCAAACCTCTATTTAAGGGCCTTCCACATGGCATGAGTAGTGAGGTAATTCTCAAACTCAGGAATAAGGTCACTTTTCATGCTCACTTGGATAATATAGTGTGCAAGTCGATCCTCATTTTGCCAAGACTGATAACTCTTTTGGTCTTGGCAACTTTGAGGCAGCTCAGAATCTAACATTACAAAGTTAAGTGTATCCAAAACTTGTTGCTCATAGAAGACAAATTGAATCTTGCATCACTATTTATAATAGTTATCCCCATTCACTTTGTCACCCTTAGTTAATTTAGTCACTATGTTTTTGGTAGTCATTATCATTTAGTCTACATGTGTAGACAATGTGTAGGGCAATGTGCAGGGCCTATTATCACAACACATTCTTGAATTTTGTGGTAAAAATATAAATTCAAGTATTAACAACTTTCAAAAATTGTGAAATCGAAAGTTCACAAAGTTTCCAATCATCTCCTGTTACACACAATTTAATTAATGTGCAAAAATTTAGTTTCTTAATATTGAACAAAATAAATCTCTCACTTGATTCAGTATCTCTAGGCAATACCGATCACAACTATTTCATATCATGAATATTATCATTTTGAATAAAATAGACATGCAATTTAAACAATAGATATAAAATTCTAATTTAAATCATGCTTAAGCAATGACACAAATGCCACTAATATATCAAGCATGCTACTATTATTCTATTCAGAATATTAGTAGGACAAAAAAAATAAGCATAATTTCACTTTTTAGAATTTTAAATAATTCAAATTTTGTCACATAAGTTGTAGATATGCTTTGAAGATATATAAAAAACAACACCATATGGACCAACCACTTAGGAAAATGATTTTTGGAGTAATATAAACCAAATCCTAGCCCAAACGGGCCCATATGTGCCTCCACTTACATGAGTGATGTTCAATTTTTCTATTTTCTTTATTTATTTTAAGAAAAAATAAAAAACTTAATTTTTAAATTTTTCAAAAAAAAATTACAAAAATATTTTTAAAATAAAAAATTGAATTTGAAGCATACTAAAAGAAATAGGGAGTTAAAACTCTTAGCGAATAACATGTATGAGCCAAAATAAGTTTTATATCGCGCGTAATTAAGCCACTTAAGCATGGCTTAGCTCATGGATTAACTCGGCTCGGGTCAGACCATGGGGTCAAACTGGTTTAAATCAACACATAGATCAAATGAGCCGGGCCAGTCCGTGGTTCAAATCGGGTCAGGTCACACTTGTTGACTAGGTCATTTTCTTCCCTAAGAAGCTCTAAAATATGATTTTTAGGCCAAAATTTTAAACACTCATATATCTCTAACTATATATCGAAATATACTATTGGAAATCTTATGAAAAATATAATATAACCATATTAATTTTAGCCCATGAAAATCAATGTAGTGAGAGATCAAAACAGAAAATGTTTTCAAAATCCCAACTAGGGTTTCAATTTTCTCTCAAACCGAAAGGCCTTTTGCCACAAAACTTTGCAGATTATTTCATACTCATATGGAATACATCATACTAAAATTTCATGGCATTCGAAGATCTTTTCTCTGAGATGCCATGAAAGCCCATTCTAAACTTTTGTCTAAAAAAATGTATTTTCATGCATTCCAGTGTCTTTAAATTAAATATAATTGATCCCCAGATGTATGAGAACAGTCTAAATTGATTTGATATCAATGTTGAGAATCTTATATATAGTGCAAAAAGCATAGGGTCAAAGACATGCAGTATGGAAGATGAGTTGAACAAGGTTTGGCTGGAATACCAAACATTGTTTAATTGAATTCTATTTAAATAAGTTACATATATATGTTAGTTACAATAATACTTATCAAGTATGTTAATGATAACTGCGGGAATTTAGAAAAACAAAAACTTGAAAAGCATCTCTAATCTACATCTTTATCTTATCAACTTTGTGCTTTGAATTTGAAACTATCACATATGTTGCTGGTACATTAACAGCCCACCTCAGGCTCATGGGGGGCTCAATGACCATGAGCTAGTCTCGCAAGAACATGAATCGAGTTGAGGTTAAGCCTTTAGTGAAAATATCAGCACATTGACTATCAATAGAAATATATAGAGCAACAAGATCCTTGTTTAATATCTTCTCATGGATGAAGAGGTAATTCCACTTAAATATGCTTTGTCCAACCACGAAAAAAAGGATTGGAAGCTAAGGCAAGAGTAACTATGTTATCGCACTAGGACTAGGGAGCAGTTGGAAGTGGAATTTGTAATTCCTTGAAGAACATCCTTAACCAGTAAAATTCGGCAGTTATGATATCCATAAAGAGATATTTAGCTTCCGTACTCCACTGTAAGACTACAGGTTGCTTCTTAGCTTGCCACGAAATCAAAGAATTTCCAAGAAACACACCATAACCACTTATGGATCTTCGGTCAACTGGATCCCCAAACTAATCTAAGTCACAAAAATTCATTCAAATGTAAAGATCTCGGAGTAAACAACAACCCGTAGTCAACAGTGCCCTTTAGATATCAGAGAACACACACACTTGGCTGTGGTGAAATGAGTAATTGTAGGGCAATGTAAAAGTTGGCAAAATTGATTTACCGAATAGGAGATATCTGGCCTCGTAAGAGTACAATATTGCAAAGCTCCTATGATATGTCTGTAGAAGGATGGATGCAATAATGGATCACCATCAAATTTTGTTAACTTCTTGCCAGAAGTACATGGTGTAGCATAAGGCTTTGCACCCAGCATGTGCACTCTCTAAAGCAAGTTAACAATATACTTTGCTTCATTCAAATGTAACCCATGAGTAGTTCTATGAATATGAATACTCAAGGAGCAAGATAACTGGACAAGATCTTTCAATTTAAATTCTTTTTTGCATGGAAATATGTGAACCAGTCAGAATAATATCATTGATGTAGATTAAAACAAATAAATGGACTGGTGGCTTGTGAAGCATAAACAATGAAGTATCAACAAAAGAACCTATAAATTTGATATCCAGAAGTGCTTGTGTCAGACGATGAAACCATGCACGTGGCGCCTATTTAAGACCATAGAGTGCCTTATGTAACTTGCAAACATAATCGGGATGGCTCTTATCAATGAATCCCTTTGGCTGTTCAATAAAAGCTTCTTCAGTAAGATGACTATGTAAAAAAGCATTCGAGACATCAAGTTGTTTAATTGGCCAATTATAATTCACTGCAAGTGCTAATAATAACCTAACAGTAGCTGGTTTAATAACAGGGCTAAGCATCTCTGTATAGTCCAATCCATCACATTATTCAAATCCCTTTGCTACTAGCCTCACCTTATACCGATCAATACTCCCAGTTGGATTTTGTCTCAATTTGTATACCCATTTATTTCTAATTATGTTGCAATTGCTTGGTCGAGGACAAAGAAACCATGTACCATTTTCGAGCTAAGCATGAGATTCACTCTCCATGGTAGCAAACCAATTTAATTTTGAGACTACTTGTGAGAAATTAATGGGCTCGAGTGGTAGTGATGTAGCGATCATAGCATTTAACGGGTGTTTGGTTGAATGGTATAAGTGAAAGTTTGAAAATTTTGTTGGATTAAGACTACCAGATTTGGAGCGATAACAATATTGGAAGATGATGAACCTAGTTGGGTAGGTAGTACTCAAACAAAAGAAGTAGCACCAGATGAAGGATGTTGATATGGAGGTATGACAAGTGGAGTGAGTGAGGCAATTCAGGAGAAATAGCATTAAAGGTGGAAACTGATTGGGTTGGTAACAAATTAGAATTGTTGTTAGGAGGAGAAACAGACATAATGGACAAGGATTCATTTAATGAAGAAATCTGAACAGGTAAGACCTCATGTGGGTGATCAAGTTGTGTAAGTGAGTTAATAGAATAAAATTCTGATGGAAGAAAAAGAACTAAACCTTTTTACGAGGACTGATCTCTAGAAGAAGGTGTAGTCATGGCATTGTACTGTGTGAGAAACAGATGTTCATCAAACACTACATGCCTTGAGATATACACTCTAGTTGCCATAAGTTCCAAGCATCTGTAGCCTTTTCTATTTGAGTTTCACCCTAAAAAGACACACTGCTTGCTTTGATATTCTAATTTTGTATTTTATGTATGGATGCAACAAAGGGGTAACAAACACATCCAAATACCTTGAAGGTCGAATAATCAGGTTTAGATTGGAACAAATTTTTAAAAGGGGTGTAGTATTGCAATGTAGGGGTGGGTAGTCTATTTATCAAATACACGGCAATAAGAAAAGTTCCAACCAATATTTTTGAAGAGAGATGTGGCTGAGCAAGGAGTGCAAGTCCTGTTTCAATGATATGCTGAGGTTTTTTGATGGACCCCAAAGAGCTAGGAAACGGAACCCACGATATTTTTTCATGCTAGTCGCAGAACCAGGAGGACCAGTTCAAAAGACAACAAAAGTGAAGGTTGGAGCTAATTCTATCGGGAATATCTAATCTGTTTGCTTGAATTTAACAAGGGGTTTATTGAGTTTGTTGAGTCTGTTTAGGAGTCTAAGTAGTCGTTGGGTTTACTTATTATAAATAAGTCTTTTATAGTAGAATAGAAATAAAGAAATTTGATTTTAATTGTGATTTTGTCTCCAACCCAAATTGGAGAATTCTATTGCATTTCAGCACTTCAATTTTAGTTATTTGTTGGGTTCTAACAATTCTGATATCAGAGCCAAGTATGGGAACTAAAAAGTAACGACTTGAAAAGCTAGAGCTCGAATTGCACGAGGTCTGCGATGGCTTGCAATGATCGGCGATCGAATCTGGGGAAACACGTGCTCAGATGCAAGGAATGCAGGATAAGCGGAAGGAGATCCTCAACTCCTTATCTGGTTTCCATATGTCCTAAGAAAAATCATCTCAACATCATGGCGAGAAGAGCTCTGCGTCTCAAGGAAGGTCCAACAAAGATTCACTAAGATGGATTTTTCAAAATTCTTTGGTGATGATCCAACAAAGTGGCTTAGCAAAGCTTCTCAATGCTTCGAATTTCAAGAAATTGGGGAGCAGCAAAAGGTTGCCTTAGCATCTTTCTAACTACAAAGAGATGCCAACCAATGGTGGTAATGGCTCTAGAGGGTCCAAAAAGATGAAGGAGTGAAGATTACATGGGATTTATTTGAGCGTGAGATAATGACTCAATTGGTTCCAACGGAGTATGAATGGTTTGATGAAACATTATCCAGAGTGAAGTAAATAGGTACCCTCAGAGACTACCAACATGAGTTTGAAAGGTTGGCTAAAAGAGTGGTTGGGTGGCCGCAATTAGGTCTTGTTGGAACCTTTCTCAGAGGCCTACATGATGACATGAGGCCATCGAGGTAGCCAGAATGAAGGACGACTAGCTTATGAGGAAATAGAGGCAGGGACGAGTGGAAGGGACACGGGTTGCCCCATTTGTGCAATTTTTCATGGCTCCACCACCTATGGTGGCACCTACAACCCCAAAGCAAGTCATTGGCTCTCTGATTAACCGCATATCATGGAAAGAGATGCAACGAAGGAGAGAGAGGGGTTTGCGCTTCAATTGTAATGATCAATTCACCCCTGGCCACAAATGCAAAATGCCTCAGCTCTTCTTGATTGAAGGAAGAGAGGACAAGGAAGGCGAAATTAACAACAACACTCCCAAATCCAGACCAATAATCAAAGAATTGGAAGGGGCCACACATAATGAAGTTGCAGGCATTTATCGACAAACACTCAGTTATGGTGTTGGTAGAGAGCGACTCTAGCCACAACTTTGTGAGCCAGTGAGTTGCTCGACACCTTCGCCTATCAGTGACGGTGTGAAGTTCATCCTATCAACTGGTGGAAGCAGCTCTCTTTTCTCGTTGTCTCCTGCTTTGTCTATTGAAGATGACTCCTTTTGCGAAAAGAAACTCTAAGGGCGTTAGATCGTGCTTTCCGACCTTATGGTGGGAGACCACCACTTCTCAGAGTCTTCGTTCCAGACCCAGGAGTCAACTTTCCTGTATGAGCATTCAGTACATGTATCAGTTTGTGGAAGAGTGAAAGGGTCACCACTACTGAGGATCTCCCCCGACTGTTTTTTTGGAACTAATTCATAGGTGCTTTCAGTTAGTTATACTTCTATAACTATATAAACAAATATAACAAGTGTGCGATGGACTGTCGTCATCATAGAACTCGTTGTTCTGAGCACTTCCATTAGACTTTCACTAATAGTTTGAATGTGAGAATTGTAGATGGAGGCCAACTATCTTTCCAAGAGAAACATGAAGTCGTACCATTGGAGATCCAAGGTTTTTTCCTTTATTGTCACTTTGTTTTCTCTTCCACTACAAGGATTGGATGTTGTATTGGGCGTGCAATGGTTGGTGGAATTGGGTCCTGTACTATGTGATTGGCACAACATGACAATGAGATTTAATTGGCAATAGGAGTATCAAGTGCTTCATGGTCAAAAGGATGGGCCTTCAACAACAATTTCTATACAGTCTCTTAAGAAAGAAATTGATGATGGGGGCACATTATTTGCATTATTGGCCAAGTAGGTCAAACACACTAAGGAGAGTGCTCCACAATTGTCGACTGGTATAGATAAAATATTGGAAGAATTTGTTGTTTTTTGTGAAGAATCACGTTCCTTGCCTCCATCTGGGGAAGTTAACTACCGAATTCACTTGAAAGAAGGTGTATCAGCTGTCAATGTGCGCCCCTACAAATACGCACACTTTCAAAAAAATGAAATCGAACGACAAGTAAAAGAGATGCTCGAGACTAGGATAATCCGTCCTAGTAGCAACTTTTTTCCTCACCAATCCTTCTGGTTAAAAAAAAAGATAGGTCTTGGCATTTTTGTACTGATCATAGGGCTTTAAATGAAGCAATGATCAAAGATCGCTTTCCCATTCCAACAGTAGATGACATGATCGATGAATTGCACGATGACAAGTACTACACCAAGCTCGACCTTAGAGCTAGTTACCACTAAATTCGAGTCCATCCTAAAGATGTGCACAAGATGGCATTCCGAACACACATTGGGCATTATGAATACCTCATTATGCCTTTTGGGATTTGTAATGTACCTTCAACATTTCAAGCCACCATGAATTCCATCTTCAAGCCACTATTGCGTAAATTCGTTCTTGTAGTTTTTGACGCTATTTTGGTGTATAGTCCCTCTTGGGAGGAGCATTTAAAACACATTAGAGTGGTTTTTTAAATTTTGCAAGATCAATAATTTTTTCTTAAACGCTCTAAATGTGCTTTCGGACAAGAGAAGGTGGATTATTTGGAGCGTCTAATTTCTAATGAAGGTGTGCAAGTGGATGAGAACAAGATTGTTGCTATGAAAAATTGGCCTAGCCCACCAATGTGACCGAACTTAAAGGATTTTTAGGACTTACAGGGTACTACTGTAAGTTTGTGTGCAATAATGGAATTACTGCATCCCCTCTAACGCAATTGTTGAAGAAAGGCTAGTTCCACTAGGATGAAAAGGCAAAAAAAGCTTTTGAAGAACTCAAATCCTCCATGAACACAACCCTAGTATTGGCTACCCCTAATTTCAATGAAAATTTTGCAATAGAAGCAGATGCTTCAGATGTAGGTATTGGTGTTGTACTGTGCCAACAAGGCCGCCCAGTGGCATTTTCAAGCAGAGCTTTGGACCCCAGCAAGAAAGCTTGGCCCATCTATTCGAATGAGATGCTTGCCATATTTGAGGCCATTTAGTATTGGAGGTCGTATCTCTTGGGCAACAAATTTTGAATCCTAACAGATCAACGTAGCCTAACGTTCTTCTTGGAGCAATGTGTAGCCACCCCAGAACAACAAAAATGGGTCACCAAGTTACTAGGCTATGAATATGAGATAGTGCATAGATCAGGTTAGGAGAACACCGTAGTAGATTCACTATCTAGAGAAGTGGGGTCACCAACTTTGTGGGCAATTTCTGAGCCTCAATTCATTATATGGGTTGAAATAAAAAAGAAACCGCTGAAAGCTCATGGGTTCATGAAATAAGGAATCCCATAGAAAGCAAGCCTGAAAAGGGGCCCGACTATGAGTGGAGAGACGATCTACTATGGTTCAAAGGGCGTGTAGTTGTTCCACCATATTCCATCTTGAAGTCTTGCCTACTCCAGGAGTTTCACGACACAAAAACAGGAGGCCAATCAAGAGTATTGCGAACCTAGAAAAGAATTGCTCAAGCCTTTCATTGGAGCAGACTCAAGAAGGACGTGTAGAATTATGTCGCAGCATGCGACGTGTGTTGACAAAACAAGCCCGACTCTTAATCACCAGCAGGTCTTCTTCAGCCTCTTCTCGTGCCATCTCAAGTATGGGAGGATGCTTCTATGGATTTCATAGAGGGATTGCCCAACTCCAACGAGAAAAATGCCATACTCGTGGTGGTGGATCGTTTGACAAAACATTCCCACTTCATTGGTCTGACCCATCCATTCACGACTAAGAAAACAGCAGAGGTGTACGTTGAAAGCGTAGCTCGACTTCATGGTATTCCTCAAACTATTTTTAGTGACTGTGGTGCTTTGTTTACCAGCAATTTTTGGCAAGAATTCTTTAAGTTGTAAGGAACGCAATTCAAGATGTCATCTACCAATCACCATAACACTAATGGTCTAACAGAGGTGGTGAATCGGAGTCTTCAGCAATACCTTCGTTGCCTATCAAGTCAAGCGCCAAAGCAATGGAGTAGTCATCTACCTTGGGCAAAATCTTGGTATAATACCACATTCCACAATGCAATTAGGTTCACTCCATTTTAGGCCTTGTATGGAAAATTCCCGCCTGTAATCACTTGTTATTTACCTGGTAGTGCAGTTGTGCAAGAAGTGGATGAGGAGTCATGTGATCAGGATAAGCGGCTAAGACGTCTAAAGCAAGATCTAGAGAAAGCCAATAACCGAATGAAGCAACAAGCGGATGCTCATTGCTGTGATGACTCCTTTGGGGTGAATGATTGGGTTATGCTTAAGTTGCAGCCATTTAGACAATAATCGGTGTCCAAGCAAGCTAATCAAAAGCTTGCTAATAAATACTTTGGACCTTATTGGGTGATGGAGAAGATAGGTGTTGTGGCTTTCAAACTGGAGCTACCAGAGCATTCTAAGGTTCACTCGGTATTCCACATCTCATGCCTGAGCAGACGCATAGGAAAAACAGAAGTCTCCCAGTGCACAACACCTCCAGTTTCAAAAAAAGGATCTTATGCTTGAGCCAATAACTGTTAAGGATTTTCATTGGGTCAAACAAGGTAACATAGTGGTAGCTGAAGTGTTAGTTCAGTGGAAGGCTGGAAGCATATGCCTAACGAAGAAGCTACTTGGGAGTCAATCAAATAGCTTCAAAATCAATTTCTAGAGCTCAACCTTGAGGGCAAGGTCAAAGTTCCAAGGGCGGCGTGTGATAGACCCCGAAGAGCTAGAAAACAGAACCCACAATATTTTGCCATGCTAGCCGTAAAAGCAGGAGGACCAGTTCAAAAGACAACAGAAGTAAAGGCTAGAGCTAATTCTATGGGAAATATCTAATCTATTTGCTTGAGTTTAGGAAGGGGGTTTGTTGAATCTGTTTGGGAGTCTAAGAGCATTTCCAACCACACAATCTAAAATAGCTATTCAAAATATATTTAAATATTGAATTCTCTACTTTAGCTAGCTACTTTTTAAAATTCATTCTAATCACACTCTCTATTTTAATTAACTATTTCAACTAATTTTAAATAAATTTCAATAATATAATTCAAAAATGTCATGTGGCGTAACATGTAAGTGTCATAGTGATGACGAAACATGATGACGTATTGTTTCACGATATCAAATTTTTAAATTTTTAAATTTATTCATACTCAACATTGCATTCAAGATAGAGACACTCATTCGAGACTTCAAATTGATCAAGTCGAACACCTGTGGATTATGTATGGAATGTTTTAGACAGTAATATGCTACGAATTTTCTACGAATATTTAAACATTCATTATTTACAAATATTTAAGCATGCATAATATTACAGTACTTGTTTATTGTATTACTACTCAAAAGTTGTTAGTATATGAATAAACAATAACTACATTTTCTTTCTCATGATTTCCATCTGGAGGCTCTTAAAATATTCAGTTTGAATCAGAGGCACGACACTCGTGTCCATCAACATTATTCTTTGTTCCTCCTTCATTTGCTTGAGTTGTATATTCTCTTTATCATGAGCTAGTCTCTCTTGTTCAACAGTCAATCACTCTTTATCATGAGATAGTCTCTCTTGTTCTTGAAAATATAATTTTTCCATGAATTTGACTTTCTTTTCCGTCAATATCTTTTTCTCCTCCTTCATTTCTTCAAACAGTTTCACGAAATAGGTTGAACTTGAATTATCGCCTTCAGAGAGTTTGCTCTTTGACTTCTTGCTCACTCTTTCGCAACCTTCCTGTCAGTTGGCCTCTCCAAGCTCCATTACCGTCTCCTATATTTACTGATT